AGCAGGACTCATACATGACTAAGCTTTATGTAGAGAGCGATCTTTAGAGATGTTAAAGCTCAATATTCCACACTTGGTGAGCAGAGAAGTGGGCGACAGGCAAAACACTGCATAGGGAGGCAGTGACATTTCTTAAACTTAATGTTTAATTTAGTGTTGTGCTTTATCTAAAAATCACTGCATTTTGTAGCAGCACAATGTACCATGACACAAACCTGCTTGTGAATCCTGGTGCATTAAGATGCACCTCAGTTTCTATTACTAGTCTGACTATCTCAGCAATTATTTTCAAGTATTGACACTAGTACTAGACAAATTATCCTTTGTTGACTCCTTTGGGAAACGCTAGCATAAAAATCGAAGACTAAGCAGCATCAGAGAAACTAAGCATAGCATTAAAAATCTGCTACAGTGTAGTCAAGTAGGAGGGGACTTGTACCAGTATTGCTGCATGTGCCTTCAAGGTTATTGAGGCTACCATTTCTGATAACCTTCTAGACTGGATAACGGTATATTTGGTTTGGGAATTTTTGCCTTTTTAAGCAAAATACCTGACTTTGAGCAATTCCTATACATATTTACTTCAGGTCATTAGTAACAGCTTCCCATTTAAAGCCATCTTCATTGTTCTAGTAGATCTTAGGAAGAACTAATCTCTCAAGAGAGCAGAGCATCAAAACATCTATCACGTACAGGACCCACGTGCCTTTTTTGCTGCAGCCACCACGCTATGTATTTTTGCCCCTTTGAATATCTGCTGAAACGAAGCAATGTCCTCTGCACCAAATTATTCTGAAATTACTAAAAGTAGATTATTTGTAAATAGCACTGAAAGAAACTAGGGTTTGAAGAGGCTCCTATGGAGTCAACTCTCTTGTATCCTCCACAGAATGAGCCTGTTATGTAGCATTACTTGGAATTTTCCATCTTCATAAGAAAAATGGAGCCTCTGTTTTGAGGTGGGCCCAAAAACCCCTTTACATTATCCCTCTGGTGGCAGATACTACCTACTTGTCTCAACTTCAGGAGAGAAATAAAGACCTCAACTTGCAACCTTTTGCAAGTATTTTCACCTATGGCAAACTTCTTCAGTAGAGGAATAAGGGTACACTTACCATTCAGATCTTATTTTTGGCAATCACAGGCAAATGCTATCTAGATGCGATAACACTATTTTTCTACCCCAAAGTTACCAAGCTTCTACTTAAGTATCTTGTTCTCTCAAATGATACAGCACATAGAAATTGCCAGCTATTTTATTCACTCTTGCCAGCCATTTTTGCTTTTCACGCTGTCAGGCAGTCTGTTAACCCTCTCAAAGGCAGGGCTAGTGCCTGGTCTGTGGGCAAGCGCGTCTCAGCAGCACGCGCTGAGTTCCCAAGAGCTCGTCTGCCCTGGCGGGCATGATGCACCGTCTCAGGATGGTCTCTGCAGCCACAAGCCCCTTCCTGGAGCAGCAACCCCCCGGCATCACCTAACACAGCCGCTTCCCGGAGCTCTGCGTGAGGGATCGCTGTGGTAGCAGCTCTGAAGGTGGCTTTGGCAGTTAGGTGCAAGGATCTCCT